GGATCTCTCATTTTATCACCCCTCCTTATACCCCAGAACTCAATGGCATCAGTGAACGACGCAATCGTCACATTGTTGAGACTGGTCTTGCGTTGCTTCATACTGCCTCCCTTCCACCCAAGTTTTGGACTTATGCTTTTCAAACATCTGTTTACTTACTTAACAGACTCCCATCCTCAATTTCAAAAATTTCTCCATTTGAAAAACTATTTCATGTTCGTCCCAATTTTCGTAAACTTCGTGTTTTTGGGTGCTTGTGTTATCCATGGCTTCGACCTTATAATTCCAACAAATTACAATATCGTTCTCGTCCCTGTTTATTTTTAGGATATTCTATAGATAACTTGGGTTACAAATGCTTGGATTTGAGTTCTCGAAAATTGTTTTTCTCCCGCCATGTGGTGTTTGACGAGTCTACCTTTCCTCACAAATCTCCGTCCACTGTCCCTATTTTACCCTCTACCTTTTTACATGCCAATGAGTCGTCCTCTACCTCTACCTCTGGTCCTGATCTTAGTAATTCGCCATCGTCACTTGCCTCTCCTACTGGTGCTCCCCATGAATTGGTGGCTCAAGAGGTGCCTCTTCCTGCAGCTTCTCCTTCATCAATCCCATCACCGATTTCGGTACCAGCCCACCTACCCGCCCAGTCCAACTCCCCCAGCCCCACATCCTCCGCTCATTCCACTCCTCATCACACCTCCTTATCCCCAGTCCAAGTCTCAAAACCTTCCCCTTCCCCAACCCAAGCCCCAAGTAGTGTGGCTCGCCCAAATCCTCCTACCCGGCTACACCACATGCGCACTCGCTCCTTGAATAACATTTTTAAACCCAAAATCCTTTTCCAAGCTGTGTCCCAGTGTCCTGCACCTCTAAGTGAACCCACTTGTGTGACACAAGCTCTGAAAGATCCCAATTGGAGACGGGCTATGTCTGAAGAATTTAGTGCTCTTGTGCGTCAAGGTACGTGGGAACTTGTTCCTCCATCTCCTAATCATCATTTAATCGGTTGTAAATGGGTGTTTCCTTTAAAACGAGCTAAGGATGGTAGTATTGAGCGTTATAAGGCTCGATTGGTTGCCAAAGGTTTTCATCAACGTCCGGGATCTGACTATTTCAACACATTTAGTCCTGTTATTAAACCTACTACTATTCGTACTGTTTTATCTATTGCAGTAAGCCAGCAGTGGGTTATCCGGCAATTGGATATTAATAATGCCTTTTTACATGGTCATCTTGAGGAACAATTGTTTATGAAGCAACCGGCAGGGTTTGTTGATCCTCGTTTCCCTCAGCATGTGTGCAAATTGTGGAAGTCTATATATGGCTTGAAGCAAGCTCCCCGAGCATGGTTTAATGAGCTTAAAAGTTTTATTATCTCTCAAGGCTTTTCTCAATCTAAGTCAGACTCGTCTCTTTTTATTCTTCACAAAGGGTCTACTTGGATTTACTTTCTTGTCTATGTTGATGATATTATAATTACAGGAAGTGACTCTTCAGCTGTTCAGTCTCTTATTCAGATCATGGGAGCTCGCTTCTCTTTAAAGGATTTGGGGCCTCTCAATTTTTTTCTCGGTGTTGAAGCAATTCCCACTGCTGCTGGTCTTTTCTTATCCCAACATCGGTACGTTACTGATCTTCTCCAGCAGTATAACATGCATGAGGCCAAGCCTGTGCCCACCCCTCTTGCTGCTTCCACTTCGTTGCATCTTGGTTCTGGTTCACCTCTTTCTGATGGTTCTATTTACCGGTGGCTTCTTGGCTCCCTGCAATATCTTGCTCTCACTCGTCCGGATCTCTGCTTTGCCGTGAATAAGCTATCTCAATTTATGCATCAGCCCACTGATGCTCACTGGCAGGCGGCTAAACGTGTTCTTCGCTACTTGCAAGGGACCCGATTTCATGGGGTGTTGTTACAACCTCAGAGTGCTCTATCCTTACATGCTTACTCCGATGCCGACTGGGCTGGCGATCGCTCTACCTGTGTTAGTACCACTGGTTATTTGGTCTTCTTGGGCTCGAATCCCATTTCTTGGCGCGCTACCAAACAGAAGGCCGTCGCTCGAAGCTCCACAGAGGCTGAATATCGCGCCTTGGCATCTGCTGCTTCTGAACTGGTTTGGGTTCGCAATCTACTATAAGAACTTGGAGTTTCTGGTCTTGGCTCTCCTGCTCTGTTTTGTGATAACATTGGTGCCACTTACTTGAGTCTCAATCCTGTTCTTCACTCTCGGATGAAACATATCGCTGTTGACTTACACTTTGTTCGGGATTTAGTTGAGAAGAACGTCCTTCATGTTTCTCACATTTCTTCTCATGATCAGCTTGCTGATGGCCTTACCAAGGCCCTGTCCACTGCTCGCTTCTCCAGTTTGCGTTCCAAGATTGGTGTTGCTGATGGCACCTCCATCTTGCGGGGGCGTGTTAAGGCAACTGCATCTCCAGCTATTACCACGTGATCAGACCATGATTTTAGGATTCATTCAATCTGTAATCTATATATTTATTATACTGTATCACATATTTAGTTTCCATACCAGCTAGGATTTCGTGTATCATATATTTAGTTTCCATACCAGTTAGGATTCTGCGTTGATGCCTCTGTATATATATTCTTCATAAGACAGCAATAACAATATAGCTTTGTCTGCTTCAATCTATAACCTCACACAAATCACGTTTCATTTTAGGAGTATAGTTTTATCTTCTGGTTCAGGTGACTTTTCATGCACGTTAGAGGCTGAACAAGCAATTCCTGTGTTGAAGAAAGCATACGGAGATATCATGCATAAAGTTTTGCATGTTGGTCCTGACACTTGTTCAGTAGCTTCTAAATTGTTAAAAGATGAAACTGCAGCTTGGGGTGTTGAACCATACGACAAGGAGGATGCTGATACTAAGTGCAAAGGACTGGGGTGGTGAACCATATGACATGGAGGATGCTGATACTTAGTGCAAAGGACTGGTGCGTATAGGCATTGGTCGTGTGGCTGATATCAAGTTTCCTCTTCCATATAGGCCCAAATCATTTCCTCTTGTAATTGTGTCAGATGCACTGGATTACTTGTCTCTGAGGGACCTTAACAAGACACTTCCAGATTTGGCCAGGGTATCAACTGATGGTATTGTGATATTTACAGGTAAAAGTAGCTTGCATTTGCGGAGTTGATCAGATATATTGCTAAATGACATTCTCAAACTCTCATTTTTTTGACTATTTTTAGTTAGTTTGCCATCTGTTGAATTTGTAGATGATTATATACAAGATTTTCTGGTCCTTTTGTGGTGGTCTTATTTTCAAAATTGTTGAAATGTAATGAAGGAGATATTATTCAGGGCTGATTTTTTTTTATGCAGTTAGTTTAAATTGCATACCGACTTTTCAGTTAGGACCTTTGTTTCTCTGGATATTATACATCACATTAAAGTTTCATGATATGCTAAAAGTTAAGCTTCTACATTAGTTTTCTGCAACTAAGATAAACGATAAGTATTTGTTTTGAAATTCGTTTTTTGTTACCATATTGACATTCCAAGGGCTTCTTCCATTGTTATACTGTAGGTTCCCCAGGTCAGCAGGGAGCTAAAGCTGCAGAAGTCTCCAAATTTGGGAAGGTGGTGAGTGGCTGTCAATTGGAGGATCATAATCTGTTACTTTTAAATACTGCTTGGTTATTTTAAACTTGACCTTGGTTGTAAACATGATTGTAATGATTTGAATGCTCATTTTCAACTACAGTTTTTATCCTCTTTTCTACCAAACTAGTTATATTGTGAAAGAACCTTTATAATCCTGCTCCAGTTAAAAATGTCTAGACAACTGTGAGTAAATCTCAAATGACATATACATTATTGATCATTGACAAATAAATGATGTGACAAGCAAAGCCATGAGCACCCAACCTAACGAAAGTGGGTACTTGGCAGCAAAAGTGAATCGTGATTCTTCAAACCATATTCTTATTGAACACTGATTGATTATCTGAGAAGCAAAGTAGACCTCTTAATGTGTTCATGGTGTACTACCGTATGCTATTTGCAATTTTTTTGATTTATGTATTTTGAACTTTCTTTTTACTCAGCCTTCATTCTTGATTGTTTAATCGGTGTCTCAATTTGTTTGTTTACTGGCTTGTAGACTAGTCATGACATCCAGAGTGTATTTGGTTCTTATCTTCTATATGTTTTTTGATATTTGACGTAAATTTTATCATAAAAATTTGAGCAACATTCACATTTATCATTTTTTTTTTCCCTTCAGAAGACCAAATTGAGGAGCTCAACTTGGTGAGTACGGTATGTTGGGCGGGCCAACTTAGAAGAAAATGGAGCTGCGGCTAAGAATTTTGAGCAGGCTTCAACGCAGATGTCATATAGCCCAAGTTGCCGAATCTTTCACCTCAAGTCATTCCACTGACTTCTGCACATGGTTTCTTCATTATTTTTGGAGTCCCTAATGCTGCTAAATCCAATGTCCCTTCAGCCCTCTTCTCAATCACATCCTCTCAAAGGTTTTACATCATTTTGTTACAGAAGGGCCTTTTATCCTTCATATTGGCCTGTTTTTTTGAATTCCATCCACATTAAGATTTGTATTCTTTGAATAATATTCATAATTTTTTCCTCTTAAAACAATTATTCTTTTTTTTTTTTGAATCAAGGTATCGTTAGTTATCTCAGATGTATTTCCAATATGAATGCTTTATTAATAGTAACTTTGCTCTGCCATTGATATTTGCATCTTCTATTTGTCCACTAAAAAGAGAGGACACTTATTTTTGTTATTTTTTTTATTTTTAATTATGATTGAGAAAAATCAGAATCATTCGATAATTAAAATGTTATGAATAATAATAAAAAATTTAAATATTTATAATAAATTAAAATATAAAAAAATTAATTAAAATATTTAAATAATTTTATAGATAATTTTGATATTTAAAATATTACAATTTCTTAACTTTTATTTTTTTCATTTTTAATTATCCAATAATGAATTATACAATCATTTATGATCCTTTTTTTTTTTTTTTTTTGGTAAAATTTATGATCCTTTAAATTCATTCATCCTCCCGGGTTAACCTGACTGAAACTTTACATACTTACCTACCAAACTGTGTCTGCTACTTTTAAGATGTAAAACAGGTGGTGCTCTATCATTGTTCTTGTGTGATGTATGAACAGTAATTTGATGTCTTCTTCAAACAAAAAGAGGAAAATATATATATATATATATATATATATCTTGATGTCACCAAAGGCCAAATCATTTAACTTGAAGATGGGGTTGGTACGTATAATTTTGGTTTTTTTGGGAGCATATTAAAAGGCAACTGTCAAAGCTTGACTTCTTTGCAAAATTGTCAGTCTTGCCACCCATTACTTCGTCTGAAAGGACACTACTTTTAAGTTGCTGTTGCTTGCTTCTTCCATGGTGCTTCCAAGCCCTAAATTTCAACAACCGTACAATATCAGAGAAGCTTAAAACAATGGATGATAAAACGTGTCACTTGACAGACTAGCCTATTGGCCTGTACTTTGAAACAGGGACAATATGATGCCTCTTTTTTCTTCTTTGAAGCAAATTCGCCTACAAAAGCCAAATAATGGAACTTCCCCCCGTGACTAAAAAACTTGACTTTGATGAACTAAACAGTCGTTGCCAAATCACCATGTTCCCTCATTTGCCAGTACGGAGACTAAAGTAATGTTCAATGGTCTAGTATTAACAGAGCATGGCCAAAGTTTCAGTGGGGTCCTATCCAATTTATTTTGCGAACAACATCCCATGCTGGTTCCTTCCTTTTGTAGGCTGCGTGAGTGAGACCAAGACCAAAAAATACTTAATTAGTCGTCTCCTCACAATAAAATCTTCTTCTATAGTACTAAAATTTTCAAAAACTAAGCCAAAGACACGTTAAAACTTACAAAATTTCATCCAATGTGTTTCACAAGTTCTTGGAAGTAAATTAGCTTTTAATATTTTAATAAATGGGTCGTGTTTTGCCAAACCCAGAAGAGAAAAATTTCTATCTACTTTTCTGTGTTTCTTTTGATGGATCAAAGTCTCACTCTTAATGGAAAAGAAAAAAACCAATAGATTATTTAAGTCATGTACTTGTCTGTTTCCACCCATGACTTTTCTTCTCTAAAGCTGGCATGGATAGGATGGAGGAGGGCCGGTAGGCTGTGGGGTGGTGGACATTGTGTTCCACGACGCCTGCGACTTGCCTCATGCTTCAACCAAATTGATTAATTGCTCTATTTGTTTGAAGGTGCATCTCAGTTTCCTTTGAACCTTCATATTCTCTGTCAAATATTTCAACTTCAATTTAAATGGTTAATTCCTCTTTCTTTACTTTATGTTCTCCGTTTTTCTAACATATTTTATCACGACATATTTAAATCAAAATATTCAAAATTTCATGATGTTCAATGGAAACATCACTTATATGTCCTCATGTCATAATTAAGTTCAAACATATCCTCAGTATTCAACATAGTTATATTTCCTTCTTAAATCAATTGGATAAGCTGTGTGTGAATTGATAGGCATTAATTTTAAACTTGATAGAATTCCTTTACATATCATTTTTCTCTAAAGTAAATCAAGTATGGGAATCCTCCACTTTCCGGAGGCAAGTGGCAAGCAGAACATCCTTTTTAGGTGTAGTAATCAAATCCCATAATTCCTACTCCCCCAACCCCCACTCGCCCTTCCTTTAAAAAATAGTAAATTGAAAATTTGCTGAATTTCAAATAAAAGGTACTCTGACATCTATTTATGTTTGTGTTAAAATTTCCAAAATGTCAGAGTCAGGTGGGAGAGTTTTAATAAATTCCCATTGGCAATCTGTGTTCCAAAGTCAATATTCCTTCCCCCAATTACTACGTATTTACAGGCAATTTCATTTATCCAAGTACCATTTTCGATCCAGCTACCATTTTTTGCCTGATAACCATTTTCTGCTGATAACCAAACAGAGCATAAGAGCCAAGAAATTGCCTATTTGTTAGTAAAGTCAAATTCTACTAGGGTGGGTAGCTGTATCCATCATTATATAAATTTCAGGTTGCACAAAAAGGATGAAATGTGTATTGGTTATAGATATTCGAGATGGGGTTCATTAAGGCACTATTGTTATCCCATTAAACTGCAATTTGGCAAGATGCTTTGGATTGGTTATGTAAGAGAGTTAAACATAAGGTATTGTTAGGCTCTCTTCTTAAATTAGCTTAGTGTGCATCAATATACATATCTGGATTGAAAGAAACAATAGGATACATAGACAATTATACAGATCTCCTTATGTAATAATTGATATGATTCAAATGGATATCCGAGACAAAGTACTAGGGTGTGTAAATAAAAGGTCTTCTTCCATGTCAAGGAGAATTGCAACTCAATGGGGATTAGAAACTTTATGTACAGCTAAGGTTTGAACATATATTAGTTTAGGAGTTGTTTCATTCTTTGTACTGACATTAATAGCAGCCTTAACCAAAAAAACTGTTTTGTGTAAATTTTGTTAATAAATTCACATTTTACCAAAAAAAAAAAAAAAGAGGAAAGGGACTATTGTTGTGTCCTATGTCTGTGATGCAGTCTTTGCGTCATCCATGAGAAGATCATGCAAAGTTTAGGACAGTGGCATTTACTTAGAGTGTCTGTTAGGGTCCTAAAATATCCTTAAATTTGAAACGTTGTGTTCGTAAGCAAGGGAGCCTTCAAATTAGGGTTCCCACATGTCCCAATCAACTTTCTTTCACTACAATCCAT